GCCATAACTCTCCTGAAGGGAGGTCCCGAAATGAGGACACGCAGAGCTTCTCCCTTCCCGAAAGTCCGAGAAGGGGCACGTCTTCAGCAAGGTCCCCGAGCAATGTGGGAGGAGAGAGAACAGGAACCCCCTAGGCAACACAATCATACTGGGGGGGGAGGGGAATAAAGGAGGGTGGGAGGCATTGGAGGGATGGTGTCAGATCTGCAAGCCATCTTTTCTTTTGGTTTGGATTTCAGGCCTTCCACATTTTCTACTGTGGGAAAATGGGAAGGGGGATTGTATGGAGTTAGGTGATGTGTAGCCATAACAACATTCTCCTTAGAAAGTCAAGGTCATTTTTGTCTTTGCGCCTGGCTGGATGTGGATGGGAGGAATCTGTTTTCGTGGCAGTGAAAGATTGGACCATGTGATGAACCTATGGGTGTTGGAGCAGGATCTTGAACTTTCATTTGGGTGGGGGAAACCTGGAAGCTTTCAGATTCGGTTTTTCCCAGATGTGCCAACATGACATCTCTAATAAAGTGGAACTTTGAGGAAACACAAGCCTCGGAGTTTTATTTCATTGGGGGTGTTTTTTTTTAAACTTTTTAAATTACAGGCTACTGTAAGATAAAATAGAAATAATAATTGAAAAATAGCACTCATATACCGCTTCATCTTACTTTCCAGCCCTCTCTAAGTGGTTTACAGAGTCAGCCTATGGTCCCCAATAATCTGGGTCCTCATTAACCAACCTCAGAAGATGGAAGGCTGAGTAAATCTTGAGCCGATCAGGATTGAACACCTGGCTATCTGCAGAGTCAGCCTGCGATGCTGCATTCTAATCACTGTGCCACCAGGGCTAACTAACGCCTAAAAACTAACTCCTAAAAAGTCAGAAAGAAGATAAGTGTGGAAAGAACTGAAGAAGGAAGAAAAAAATAGGGAATTCTGACTTTTTCCCATGCAATAGGATTAAAAAAATGTTACGGTCTCAACCTTTTGCTTTAGATCGAAGGAATTGATGGGGTAGCTCACAGCCAGATCTTAGAAGCTTCTGATGCCACATGTATGGCCATGGGCAGGCCATACATACATAGCTGTGGGAAGGAAGGGGGAAGGGAGAAAGGAGAAGGGGAAAGGAAAAAAGGGAAGAGGGAAGGGAAACCTCACAAATCACGGGATACCTCAAAGGTGAATGGGTAAGCATGTTCTCCTAACTTCTTCATCAACTTGTCCTGTAAGGGTGTGATGGTCTTCGGAACCTGGTCTGGCACCGGTGGGTAAAGTTGTGTTGTGAGAAGATAGAGATCCTTCCTGAAGGTCAACCCTATGACATCCAGGTCATCTCGACCATACCGGAATGCACATGTGAGGGTCACATAGACTGGACCGTCAGAGGACGGAGGAGGAAAAAAAGGAGTAGAGAAAAATACAAGAGAGGCTTGTGAGTAGGTTTAGGCGGAGAGATGGAGGAAAGAACAATTGCCTTCAGTTCAGGGTCTGGATGGGAAAGAGGCATTAATGGAACATGGAGTGGTTCTTGGATTTGAGGCCTTCTGGATCTTGGCTGTCTTTGGTAGCAATGACCAAGTATCTTTTGTATTGGATGTGATTGAAGTCCCACAGACTGGCAAACCAGTCAGGAAACACCATTAGATGAACGAATTCTACTTTTATCATAAGGCTACATTAACACAATCTTGCAACTATGAAGGTCCAAACTTTAATTTTAACCATCTGATCCATCAGGGAGGATCCTTCCTAACTAAGGTTCTTTCCCTGACCATTAAGTGACTGAAGGCTTCTCTTATCTGATTGTCTCCTAGGCAGCATCTGATTGTCTCCTAGGCAGCATCTCTTCCCCTCGTCCCCCAAGGTCACCCATACATTCCACTACACAGACAAACCTGATACACAATCTGGGGGTCCCAATAAAGGAGAATATTTGTAGCTCTGGGATGAATTGAGGGGTCCTTGGGGCTCTCTGAGCTTGTTTTCTTGCAGACATTTCATTACCCAGCTAGGTAACATCAACAGTGCTAGTACGGAGTGCTGTTTGCTGTCCCTTTATATTCTGGTGTCTTGCATGTCTGGGGGGAGGGTGGTCTTAGAGGTTCTTTGGTTGGGCTGTTTAGTTGTGGCTCTTTGGCAGTTTCTTGACTGGCGTATAGCTTACTTGATTGCTGGTCTGAAGTTGACTTTGGTGATGCCGATCTGGGTGCTGATTACTGGTGCAGTCTTTTTGTTCTCTTTTGGGCTGCTTGGTTGTCTCTTTTGCATAGCCTACAGATGTTAATGTCTACGCGTCTATTGGCAGCTGATTTGGGGGTCCAATTTGGGAGTCCTGGTGGACTCACAACTCCTGCTTGAGAAGCAAGTGATAGTTGTAAGAGGGCCTTGCACAGCTTCACATTGTGTGCCAGTTATGCCCTTTCTTGTGCCATGAGGCTCAGTCCTTCATGCCCTGAGCACCTTTAGGATGGATTACTGTAATATAATCTACATGCCCTTGAAGAGTAACTAGAGGTTTCAGCTGGTGCTGGGTGTAGCTGCACGGACAGCTCCATGCGCCTTATAGGACACCTTGTTTGTTCCATGAGCTGCATTGGCTTCCAGACTGCTTCCTGGTTCAAATCAAGGTGCTGGCCTGACTTGGGACCAGGCTATTTAAGGGATCATCTCTCCCCAATTCCATGCATCTCTACAGCAGGAAGGGTGTGCTGTGGGTCCCTGCTACCTTTCATCAGGTGGAACATGGAAGAAACACCTTTTCCGTGGTGGCTTCTACCCTTCGGAATATCATTCCCTCTGAGATGAGGTTAGCCACGTTCCCTGATAGGCTTTTGAAAAGCCCTGGATGGGTGTTTTCCCCAGCAACCAGGAGGATCCCATGGGGAGCTGAGAGGTGGCTCTTTTGTACTTGGATGGTTGCTATTCTCTTGCAATCTGGCTGGCTAAGTATTTTATTATGTCTATCGTTTTAAGTGTTTTAACTGTTGTATGCTACCCAGAGTCATGTCCAGTGAGATGGGTGGCCACATCAATTTGCTAACTAACTAAACGTTTCTAAAGAGGGCAGAGAAGAAAAGAAACAAGAAAAGTACCTTTCCTGTCATTCACAGTTTCTGGGTCTAGCAAAACAACTCCATCTGGAAATAAAAATATAACAAAACCTGATTAAAAAAACAGAACAAAAACCCAGCATGAAGAAGATGCAAAAATCTTCTCTCTTGGCACAGCAATAAAACTTCACAACAATTCCCGGGCTTTCCAGAGGACGGTGAGGGTCCTTGGAGCCCATGCGTTGTTGTCATCTATTCCACCGGTTGAAAGCAGAAGTCCAACAAGAAAAAGGGAAAACAACACAAGTGCAGTTCTTTTTGTTGCAAGAAGCAGATATTTGATTTCAAACTTTAGGGGAAGACGAATTCCACTATCTGGCTCTCCTAAGGAGAGGAAAAGTACAATATGAAGGTACTGTGACCTAGTTAGGAGGGCATCATGTAGGGCCAAGAAGACCTAAGATTGTTGGTATAGCACAGAATGGATTGAATACAGCAGCAAAGCCATGGGTTTGGCAAAGCATGAGTTTAACAAAGACAGAATGGAAATATAGGCTTAGAGCTGGGGTGTCCAAACTTGGGAACTTTAAGACTTGTGGACTTCAGCTATGCTGGCTGGGGAATTCTGGGAGTTGAAGTCCACAAGTCTTAAAGTTCCCAAGTTTGGACACCCCTGGCTTAGAGGAAAAGAGAGGCTGGAGACAGGGGCTCTGGTCTTATCTTAGGTAACGGTACAGGTTCCACTTGCACATATGTGCTAGTTGTTCTTGACTAGGGGGCGGTGCTCATCTCCGTTTCAAAGCTGAAGAGTCAGCGCTGTCCGAAGATATCTCCGTGGTCATGTGGTATATGAATGCACAAGCAAGATTCAAGATCTTGCTAGATGAGCAGACATCATAAGGCAAGAATGAACAAGTCAGGATGCCAGAACCTGATGGGAACATTGGAGGTGATGGGACGAGAGAGAGGGAGGGAGGGAGGGAGAGGGGACACTATAGAGAAGGTGGTATAGTATTGTCTATCAGGGATGAATTTACTGGTACATATTTTTTTAAAATTAAAGAGAAAAAAGAAAAAAATGTAAAGGGGTTAGGTCATAGATGCCCAACCTTTTAAACTGTCTGGGGTGCACTGAGTGAAGACCGAAAGGGCTGAGCTAAACCCTCCGGTTTCCAACTGGCCAGAGTTGTTGGTCTTACTGAAACAGCTAAATAGAGAGAAGCACAACAATGGTCATCTGCGAGTTTTGCAGCAACAAAACAAAGTCTCTATCAACAGAAGAAATATTCAATATTTACTGTAATTTGACCTTGGAAACTGAACCAAAGTTCAGTTCAATGAACCCAGTTCATTGTGGGGTTTTTTTTAATCCAAAATAGTAATATCAGGGTTTAATCTATTTGTGAACAACTTATCCCAAATTCAGCCCACTGATCTGTTAGTATAGGTTCTATCTCAAACCAATCCAATAGTTTATCTCTTACTTCAATGTTTTTCAACCTTGGCAACTTTAAGCTCTGTGGACTTCAAGTCCCAGAATTCCCTAGCCAGCATAGGAGTTGAAGTCCACACCACTTCCAAGCCTGATAAACCTTTCTCTTCCCCACCACCATCTCATGCCAATTTAAACCCTAAATCAGGCCTACTCACACCATGCATCTGATGAAGGGAGCTCGTGAAGTCATATGTCCTTTAATAAAAAGTGTTAATCAGAAGATGGATTAGCAGGTTCTTCCAACTTTTGGTTGCCCTGGACTAACACAACTGCATTAAGTAACTACAAATTTAGATTATCTCGTTACAGAGCCTTCTTGGCCCTCTACGTCACCATCTTCCAAAGTGCAGAATCTGTACAATGCAATCAGCACTAACAGGATTTAAAGCAAATTACATACCGACAGGTTCCACAGATTCCACGTGATCCACAAAGTCTCGCTTTCCCAGGTAGATGGATAACTGGATAGACAGGAGACAGGAGACACCTTTCACTCAATAATCTTGGCCAATGGCACCATGACAAAAGTTGGCACTTCCACATAATACTACTCGGAACTCAAAAAGCCCTCCTTGATGGCACCTCATCAGTTTGGACTGTCAAGTGATTCTAATTTGCAGGTAATGCAAAATGATGTAGAAAACAAATTCAAAATGATATTTGAAAGAGTAGAGAATGGGCTGCCAAGTACAGAATACAATGTAAGACACAAATGATGCCTTCTATTGATTTGTTTTTTTCTAAAAAATCAAATACACAGTACAGTATGTGATAAGACAATAAGATTATTGTCACTCTTTTCTGAGAACACACTGGCACACATTGCAAAATGAAATTCTGGCAACTTTTCGGGGCCAGGACAGTTCAAGTTGTGGGGGAAGGCCCAGGGAAGAACAGCCGGGGTCCAACTCAGAAGTCCCCTGTAACACTATATTTCCGGACCTGGTGCAATTTAAGCTGCTCGGGAACCCCCTCTAACCTGAATCCAATTTGAAAAAAGATCTCCAACTGAGCAGCTTAATGGATTGGACAAAGATCGGTCTGGGCTTTTCTTGGCTGGCTGCTCTAATCCAGAAAATGGGGCACAACCTTCTTTTGTATAACAGCAGTCCTCGAGTCACAAGCGAGCCCAAGTTTTATGTTGGTATATAAAAATTTGTTAAGTGGGTTTGCCCCATTTTACAATTTTTCTTGTCACAGTTGTTAAGTGAATCATTGCATTTGTTAATAACACGGTTGTTAAGTGAATCTGGCTTCTTCCATTGACTTTGCTTCTCAGAAGGTCGCAGAAGGGGATCATGTGACCCTGGGACACAGCAAACGTCATAAATATGAGCCAGTTGCCAAACATTCAAATTTTGATCATGTGACCATGGGAATGTTGCAACTGTTATCAGCGTGAAAACCAGTCATAGGTCACTTTTTAAGCCATTGTAACTTTGAACAGTCACTAAATGAAATGTTGTAACTTGAGGATGACCCGCATTGCATATACAGAAATTGCCAATTCCTGCCATCAGCTGGATCTGTCAGAATCAACCCAACTGAACTGTCACATCCATTGCTGGGCACTTAAAACTCAGCCTCAGGTCTGGGGTCCAGTTCAATCTCCCTCAAATGCCCATCTGGAGAAGGGCGGCATATAAATCCAATAAACCAAACCAAACCAAACCATCTCTGTCCAGCAGTGCCAATGCGAGGTTGGCACTCCAGTTCCCCTGAATGACCCCATCTACTCTCCCTTCTCTTACTAGGACCCTGATTGAATGCTCGCTAGCCAGAAACCCTCAGGCATCATTTGGACCAATGTAGCCTCCCCCGCTCTCCCCCGTGATGTGTTTACAGCAAACTCCGATCTTACCTTCTCATTGGAACAAGTCTTCTTATACACTCTGCCAAAAGAGAAGGGGGGGGGACAAAAGGAGGGGGGGAGAAATTTCAGAGGGTAGGCAATATATTACATACCAAAATACTCAAGTTGGTTAATCTTAAGCACAAAATAGTTAAAAATATAAAATGCATGCATTAAAAGTGAGCCCCTGAGGTGTTTCTGATCATAAATAGTAGGAATAGTGTAGAGACTACAGGCAGGTGGCTCTCAAAGGTGCAATAGCAAAGTCCTCCATCCAAAAGGCAGCCCCTTTGCTCCTCCTGGATTTTTCCAGAGTCTCAAACATCACAGCTTTAAGTCTGAGTTGTAGGAGCAATATCACTTTAGCCTCTTTCCTCAGATTCAGAGCCTTCCATTTTCAAATAAAAAAATAAAATAAATCCCATTCAATAAAAAAGGGTCTCTAGCAGAAGAAAGGCCGAGAGATCACCCATGACTCCTTGCAAAGGTCCTGGGCTCCACCTGGGAGATGCAGCTCAGCAGGAATTCTTTGATTCTCAGGTGGATCTGTCAATGGGGGAAGGGAGGAGAAGGGCTGAAGCAGTCACACCTCTGGGATTGCTGATCATCATGGAAATAACCCATATCTTCCTGGGAGCTTACATCTCCAACCTTAATTTTCTGCTCCCCAGTGTTCCCAATCTGATAGTATCTATTACTTATAAAACCTATAAGGTACTTTTCCTGTGACGTAGCAATCCAGTCTAATTGTTCAAATAGAAGAGAATGCAGCATCTGACCCACGGAGTCCTCGGTGCTTTCTAAGCTTTGTTGGCAGATTTTTCATGACCCATCTAGTTGATGGCTGACTTGCCTGAATGCCAACATAAAGTGCACCTATAACAGCCACTATGTAGGGCAGATGGGCAGAAGACTTGCGGTGTGCCTCCATGAACACCAACCAGCAGTCAGAGGACACTGTAAAAACTCCTTAGTATCACAACACAGGGATAGATTCAACCAGAGTTTCAACTGGGAAACTCTGAGCATTTTAGACCAAGCCAAATGGCAAAAAACGCTAAGGATTTTTGACATCCAGATGAATCAGCTATGAATAGACATATCAAGACAAACCATACCATTCACAAAAAGCTAAAAAAGGAAACCAAACTGACACCCAGATAAGCAGGGATTAATAGCAGAGAAACACGGAGAAAACAATTCCCTAATCAAGCAACTACCAAGGAGAAAACCACTCACCCTTAATGCCTGCTGGGCAAGCTGCTGCATATAAAACAAGGAGCAAACCCTGCACTCAAACAAGCTCAATCTAACGAGGACTCCACCATTCCAATTGTTGCTAAAATTGTTAAGAGTTGATCAATATCACTGAAAATTGCGCTGTAATTGAAACCTGGCTAAATTATGAAATGAAACATAGCTGATGGAGAGAAAGGGAGTGTTGTCTTCCTGCACTACGGAATGTGAGCAGGGAAATCTGGAGGGTATTAGCTTAGCAACCAAACTGGAGGCTCCAGCTGCCTCACGCAGAAGGAAAAGAGGCCTAGCGTAGGAGAGTCAGGCTGAAGAGAAGCCCCACTGCCCCTCCAGGAAGGCTCCTAGGGGTGCCTTCCTTCTGTTGGGCCGGGGTGAGGCAGTTAAAACAAGGCACATCCTTCTCACAGACCACAGGGGAGACGAGCCAGACCTACTTTGGTCCGTCAGCCATCTTTGGAGACCGGAAGCAGAACTCCTGCAAGAGACGAGAAAACCAATCAGTAGGCCAGCAATGCAGTGGTGGGCACCCATCTCCTCCAGATGCTCTCCCCACAAAGACCCAACTCATCCAAAGCAGGTTTCTTGGGGCAGCTTCTCCCACAGGGACTCCCTGGAGTTCCTGCTCTAGCTAGAAAAGGCTGGGGTTGTTTTTGAGGCAACACACTCACAGGGCCATAAGCTTCCTCCTCATTTCTAGAAGAATCTTTGGGCAACGGGGCATCTGAATGGCAGGTTTTTCACAGAAGTGGCAAGGGCTTGCGGCTCTAGAAGAAGCTAACCAACTCCTTTGGTTTGCACAGTGATACCCACATAGTTAACAATACAATGTTGGTATAACTAGATTGTCAAACTGTATTCCCACCCCCAATAAAAATGTCTCAGTGGTTATGGATTCAAAACTGTTCCAGTTGTGAGACCCAGCTGGTCTCACGGTTGGGAGTTTAGGATCAGAGACCCAACTATTTAAAATGGGGATGTTGAGAAAACTGTGCTATTAGGAGTTCTCTATCGTGGTTTATATGGGCACCAGTTTGCCCCTCCAGAAATCCTGGAGGTGGGGAAACCATATTATGCCACAGCTGCCATTCCTTCAGGAGAGGCTGTTAAACCCAAATGGCTAGCTGCCAAAAAAATGTTCTCAGCTCACCGCTCACTGTAACCTTCTCTCTAAAATATTTTTAGTTACCTAATCTTATTTCTTAGTGCTAAGCTATACACATCATTCAGTTTTAATTAGCTGGTTTTCAGCAAGTTTAGTGGGGATTTGCCCAGTGACTTAAGTTTAAGATCTCTAACTCAAACCAAGCAGGATTAGCTGGGAGGGATCTTTCTGTACAACTAGAATTAACGCACAGAGCGAGTAGAACAAGCATGGGAGCCCCACTAGCTTGGATGCTGTTTACTAATAGAGAAACAGGTGGAAATCTGAAATAATGCTTTTAGCAAAGTAGAGGAAATAAGGAGCATATCTTACACTACAACATTTTTTTAAAAAATTAGTGGGAGCATTTCCACAGAATACTAAGTGATCCAAAGTGCACTGTTTTGTTTCTCAGTTGCTTCCCTGGTGCTTTCTGCCAGCAGATTTAATGAACAAGCCCAGAGGGCTCTACTCCTTATGGGCCAACCAGAGAATCGGGCTGATCCACTCTGACCACACCAGAAGGCAAGCAAGGAAGAAGGAAGGACTTTTGATTCAATTAATCATAAGCAATAGATGCACTTGCTTCAAAGAACAGACTGCCACTTCCAGCTAACAAAATTCCAGATGTCTAAAGGGCAACAATACAGAAACCCTCTTCTGCCATCTAATGGTTGTCCTGATTTTTGCAGCCAACCCCAGCTGAGAGGAGCCAAGTGGAAGCTCTTTAAAGCAGTGTTTCTCAACCTTGACAACTTTTAAGTCCTGTGGACTTCAACTCCCGGAATCCCCCAGCCAGCTGGCTGGGGGATTCTGGGAGTTGAAGTCCACAGGACGTAAAGTCACCAAGATTGAGAAACACTGCTGTAGAGTAACAGGATTGGCCAGCAAGCCCACATCTCAAAATGGGTTTACCAAGGGAGAATAGGAGCCAAGCAGAGACTGCTCCCTTCCCAGGGAGGGGCAGCACAAGCAGGATCAGCCCTGGCAGCCCAACTAAGGGGAGGCCCAAACAGAAGGCTTCCCCAGCCAGACAGGCCATCGTGGCTGCAAATCTCCCTGGTTTGCCCTCTGGTTTGGTTTAAGGATGAAGGAAAGGAGAGGAAGGGGAACAGCAGCACAGTGGAAGTGATGCCCCTTCACTTAGCATCCTCATCCAATGCAGGAAAGAAAAAACCTGAAAAAAGGTCTCAGGACAGAACACCTGAGCTCACTGGTCTGCAGTGAAGTCTTTTCTATTACCCCAAAGCTCTGACTCTGAAGACCTTCTGCCCCCCCCCCATCCAATTTCTACATCCTTCAGCCCTTCGGTCTAGTGAGAATCAGACTGAATCCTCTTCAATATGAAATGTTTTCAGATCCTTCAATGCAGCCGTGGTGCTCCCTCCCCTCCCCCAGCCTTCCCTTCTGCAAGCTGAATGGATCTGGGTCCCGTCACTAGATTTGGTTTCCAGTCCTTTCTCCCTCTTGGAAGCCCTTCTCTGGATTTTATCCAATTTATCAATGTCTTTTTTAAAACGGGGTTAATTTAAAAGCTTCCCTGCTTCTGGGGGTCCATAATTTTTAAATTAATTCTAAAGAGGGGGGTTGGGTAGGGGGTTGAAATGTTAAAACCTATCCTAGAACTTCCAATAAGAAGTATTACAGTTTAAAAATTGAACCTTGTAAGGATTTACATTTTGACACCAACAATCTATTGGAATACTTTAGGTCCATTTTTTTTCAATTCTTGTTTTATTTCTTCCATGCATGCCTGCAGTTATTAAGAAAAAAATGTTCTTAATGTTTTTAGTAATAGGGATTGTTAATATTTGAAATATTTATATACTACGTACATTTCCTAAATGGGTGGAAACTTCCTTTGGGGAGGAAAAGCCATTTTAAAAATTGCAATTTCACAAAACTAAGCTATCGGTTGCCTAATCTACGACCCGGCGTCTGGGGCAGGGGGCTGACAGAGGCGACGGACGCTTCTCCGAATAAAGCGCCGTTCCCAACTCCTGAGCTTCGCCCCACCGACCCTGCCCGCGCTGGGTCTTTGCCCGACGGCAGGGACGGTCTTGCAAGCCGCTGAGGACGAGGCTTTCTGGGGAAAGCGGGGCAGGATTGGCTGCTCCCCCCGACCTCCCCCCAGCCACCTCAGCCCCACCCCCAAGAGCCCCGTCCGTCTGGCGAGCCCTCCCCGAAGGAACCGCCCGTGCTCCGAACAGCCTCCGCGTCCCAGAGCCGAACTCCGCGGACGGCTAGCTGGGCGCCTCCGGAGCTGAGAAGCCGCCGCCGTCTTACCTGCGACTCGCCGCTGGACTGCTCCTGGGGCAGGTCCTGCGGGACCGGCTCTTATAGCCCGCGGGGCCGCCCCGCCCAGGCGGCCCTTCCACCTCAGAAGCCTCTTAGCCGGCGCGGCGTCAGGAGGCTTGAGCCAGGGCGGCGGCGAATGGACGGCTGTCCTCTTCCACGCACGCAAGGCCCAGGGGGCTCCGGGGCGCAAGGCCCAAGGCAGCCCCCGCCAAGCACTCTAACGGCCTCGCCTCAAAGCGCCCACGCCAGGTTGGCCGAGCTCACCGACAGCCAAAGGGCCACCTCCCGCTTGGAGGTGGGCACACGGCGGGTCTCGGCTGGCTAAAATGCACGTTTTCAATTTTGTTGTCAGTTTCTTTTTTCCACTTCTCCCTCTGCCTTTCTGTAGGGGACCCAGGCACAAAAATACAACTACGGTATTAAAACTTGAGCTCATCCCTTGGTTCTCCTTCCAAAGGACCTTGGAGTAAGGCAGGGCATTCGGGTGAGGTCTTCGACCCCTCACCCATCTCCCTTTGCCCAGGTGACTCCCAGCCTCTCCCAAAAGAAGCCCCGCTGTTCCCTTGGAAAGGGCTCTTGACTCGAGGAAAACCTTCCTGGGTCTTTGGGACCAATTCTAAGCCCCTGGTGCCCAGCCTGCAGTTGTGACAGTCACTTTATTCAGTCGCCTTTCAGGTTGCTCTCACGGGCTGCTGGCAACCTTCTCTTCTTCAGGAAAAACACACCAAGGGTTGCCTTATAATCTATAACTTACATAACTTATCATTTATAACGTATAAGTGTTGCCTTATAATTGTAACATATCATTTATTAACAGGTTCCTATTGTGTTGGTGGCTGTCCTCTGAACAGGCCCCCCGGGATTCTCTCAAAACCTGGTCACAGAGAGAGGAAGGGGCTCGCCTGCATCCTGATGCCCTTTTTCCCTTCATGCAGCCCAAAGCTGAGCTCGCTTTTCTTCACTCATGTCCGGCTCACACCCCCACGGTCTGGCCTTTTTTCATGCATTCTCAGTATGCTTCCCTTTCTCTAAAAACAGCTGGTGGGGACTGTGGATACACAATGACTGATGTGGGAACCCCCCTCCACTGGGGCGCTCCCAGGCTGAGCTGCCTATTAGAGCACCTTTGTGTCTGTGTCTTGCATTCTCCAGCCACTTAAGTGCAGTGGTTAAGGCACCAGCCTAGAATAGATAGCAGATAACACATTAACAGAGTTGGAAGGGACTTTGCTAGTTCAGCCCTCTGCCCAAGCAGGAGACCCTACCCCATTTCTGACAGGTGGCAGTCCAGTTCAGAATAATCTCAGAGGGAAGGCACGTTCTAGTGCTACCTTAGCCACAAAGCCACCCGGGTGACTTTGGGCCAATCCCCCTTTGTCAGCCCTAAGTAGGAGGCTGTGACAAGCCACTTCTGAAATCTTGCCAAGAAAACTGTGGAGAATAAATCCACTTCCTTGTCTAGATGTTTTTGGAATCGCAGCTCTTTCACCTAAAGCACTTTTGTATCTGCAGAACTCAACTCCCTTCACCCAAATGTACTTGTTAAAAACGTAGAAGATCCCAGGGGCCAAAACAGTTGATGGCTCTATGTGTGATACTGGAGCAATTAAAGAGGACCTTTTAAGTGTAATCATTCAACCAACTGGATCTGACCTACTTTCTCTCAAGAGTGGATCAAAATCTGCTCTCCAGAGGTCCACCAAGCAGGTCTGACTCGTCTCTGTTTCTCCTCCTCTGGAGGACAGAGATGCAAGGCTCTGTGGATCATATCCTGCAGGTGCCAGTCACCTTCCTGTCTTCAACCAATCTTTCCTAGTCACTCCAGAGTAGAAGGCTCCCTTGTAGTTTCTTTCAACTTCCAAATGAAATTGTCAGAGGGTGAGGACAAAAATTGCCTGGCCCTCTGATTCTTCCCATTTATATATCTGCAATTTCCTATTATCTCCTGCAACTTGGAAAGGCTGCCTCTACCTCCACTTCTTTACATCTACATTTTTCTTTATATACTTTGTTTCCTTTAGGACAGTTCCT